TTGAACTTGGATGTACAGTGTCGAGCTGCGGTGGATTATTTCATTAGCCTTCGATATCCTTATAGACCCCAATATACGTACTATGAGTATGTGAGTGTTCTCAGCACTCAAAAACCTTTTTCCGACCTCATAACCGCACCTCTAACACCGCCATCAGCAGTTTAGATCGACAATTTTTGATTAATTACTTTTTCTTCATTATGTTAATTGCACTTAAGAATGAGAATGCACCTACTTTGCTCAATTTGAGCATGAATATTTGAAATACGAGTGAACAGAAACAACTGGCTGAACATAAACGGAAACAACAACTGTTTATTGAGGATAATTTTACAATAACCCAGATCAATTTATACCATTACAATGCAGTTCAACTATCGCATCGTAGAAAACACCATCACATCGTAATTAGGAACGTAGTCTTCGTACCCAGACTACGATCCTCATCACAACGCAGCGCGCCATTCGCTAATAGGCTAAACGAAACCAGTCACTCTAACGTAAACTTCATCCTTAGAAAGATCCCTAGATCCTAAGGACGCGCGGATACTTCACTCCACGCACGAGCTCAAATCGCTTCCGCAATTAGGTTGCCATATTCCTGAAATGTATTTCGAACTACTGCCATCAGGCGCTTGCATCTCTTCTTGCACTAGGGACGACGTCACGCTAATGACTCGTCTCGAGCCATTCGTTAGGGTGGCTGCAGCTTATGGCAGGCAAGCCCCATAAATGCGCCATTTTCAAATTTCCAAAACCCATCATGGCGAACGAACCTTTGGTGAAGTCTCAGAGGCTTCCCCTACACTGTGGCAGCTAAGATTCGCTCGGCGATAAGGAAGCGCGGAGGCGACAAGGAGAGTCGATACGCAGCGATCGCACTGACCGTTACTCGTCATCACTGCCCTCGCCGTCAGAAGAGAAGCATTCCCAGGAGTGTCCAAAGAAATGTCGAATTCATCAATGCGTTGGTGCATTAGATTATCTTATTACTGAAACCGTTCAAGATAAGCCTTGTTTTCTGTTGATCATTTGGACATCCCCTACTGCAGAAACAGCTGCGTTTCGTCTGACCCTTCTCACCTATCAGTTTAGTATCGCCAAACTCGCATTACCGTGCGACCCACGAGAAAAATACAGGGTGAGAGTGAGAGAGAGTGA